GACAGGTGACCCGAAAATTCAACTATATTGCAATGGTGAGTTTCAAACTCTTAATGCTTTATTCAAATCAGTTCAGTTTAATTTCTCAGATGTGATCTAGAACTGACTGTCATTTTCTAAGCTATGAAATCAGATCCATATGTTCAGACAGTGCAGTGTTAATATCCGGTAGGTCTATGTCAGTTGCCATAGTAATGACTTAAGTGTCAGCCTGATGGCAAGAGACATAAAAGAGCTTCTGTCATTGTGGAAAGAGAGGACAGGAAAAATGGGAGAATTTCATTCATGCATTAGACAACAAAAAAAAGGTCAAATGCATTACAGCAAATCATATCGAGTCACTAATTGCCTGTTTGTTGTGCATATTTAATACACAATGAATAATGTGAGCAAAATGAGTGAATTTTGACAGCTGTAGACACTACTACTCTTTGTGAATGACATTAGTCACATTGCATCCTGAATAATAAAAAATAAACTAATTTGAAATCTAGCCTGACTTTTCCAGTGTTGTTACTGTTGATTAAAATTAAAGCTATTGAGAATAATTTTTGATAATTGAAAAAAAATTTTTTAAAAATATATATATATATAAAAATAAAAAAAACACAAGATTAGTCCGGAAACCTTTCTTGAAAACATAAAAATGGCATCGGTTGTGTCATACACCAACAAATACAATTTTTTTATTTCAAATGTTACTTTTGAACTCAAATTCACACATTTACTAAAAAGTGTGAGTATAAGTTAAACATAATTAAATCAAGACTTACCTGTGTTGGAACTTGGTGCTTTTTGTTTAAACCATTATGATTATTTAAAATTATCTTTTATATTCAGTTTGCATTTTAATGTATTCGCTTTTGTCATTTTTATTATATTTATATTTAGCTTTATTTTATTTATTTTTTTTTACCTCCGTTTTAGTTTAAGTAGTACTTAAACTTATTTCAGTTAATTGGCAAGGAAGCATTTCTAGTTTAAATTTTTAACGTTTTTTATTTTTATTCTGAGCTTTATTTCAGTTACTGAAAATTATTTTGAATTAATTAATAATAATGATTAATAATTAATTAAATAATAATTGTAATAAAAAATAATTAATTATTTTTTAATTAGTTTTGGTTAAAAGATAACAGCACTGACTGATACGTATCCTTATAAACCCAAGACTAGTACCAAGACTAAACCTAAGACTAATTATCACTGTCCAAGATGCATATACTAATTACTGACTTAAATACTTGCATAGTGTAATAGATCATCACAAGTTATATTTTCACTTTGACATGTTTTGGTTAATGAACACATAAAAAATCTAAATCAAATTTTCTGTGGTTCAGTGTTATTGTAAAAACCTGAAAACTGAGGGTGAATGCTTTTTTTTATAGGCATTGTAGATCTCATTTTGCATCACACTGTTTTTTTTTTTTTTTGTTGTCATCACTGCAGCATTTAATTAAATAATAATTGTAATAAAAAATAGTTAATTATTTTTTAATTAGTTTTGGTTAAAAGATAACAGCACTGACTGATACGTATCCTTATAAACCCAAGACTAGTACCAAGACTAAACCTAAGACTAATTATCACTGTCCAAGATGCATATACTAATTACTGACTTAAATACTTGCATAGTGTAATAGATCATCACAAGTTATATTTTCACTTTGACATGTTTTGGTTAATGAACACATAAAAAATCTAAATCAAATTTTCTGTGGTTCAGTGTTATTGTAAAAACCTGAAAACTGAGGGTGAATGCTTTTTTTTATAGGCATTGTAGATCTCATTTTGCATCACACTGTTTTTTTTTTTTTTTGTTGTCATCACTGCAGCATTTGCTGTGACGTATATCAGTGGTTACTCTAATTTGTAGCAGTCTGTGTGAATAGAAGGAATCTGTGCCTAATTTCTGTCATGTGATGTGCAGGGCGGTCTGCAGGAGGTAGCAGAGCAGCTTGAGCTGGAGAGAATTGGACCTCAGCATCAGGCAGGCTCTGACTCACTCCTCACAGGAATGGCTTTCTTCAAGATGAGAGAGGTGTGCCTTGAGATGAAAAAAAGAAAAAATCATCAAATTCAATATCACGAAAACCTTTTAAATTGGCACTAAATGCAGCATTTGTACTGACTGTAGCATCGTTGTCATTGCAGATGTTTTTTGAGGATCACATTGATGATGCAAAGTATTGTGGTCACTTGTATGGACTGGGTTCAGGCTCATCCTATGTCCAGAACGGCACCGGAAACGCTTACGAGGAGGAAGCAAACAAGCAGCAGTCATGACACAACAAGAATCCCTCACCATAAACAACCTCATATACAGGGCTGAAAACATGGGTTTTTAGTTGTTGTTGTTTTGTTTGATAGGATTTTGCACTTTAAAGCTCCCATCCATCAGAAAAAAAACTTCTTCCCTTTGTTGCCTTCTCTGGGTTAAATCTTCTCACACAATGTTCATCTTTTATGTTTAAAGAGGAGGAACCATTTCGTGTTTTAGTTCCCCCCTCACAGCTCGGCCTTAATATTAAGCTACTTTTTATGTTCTTGTTTTAATCATTAATTTATTGCATTCGTTTCTTCTCGTGTACGGTTGTGTACACCAGTAACCTACGTGAACTGTCTTTCCCTGATCACAGGAGTACTGATTTCTCACTCTTCGCAATAGCTTTAGGCAGATGGAGGATCTCACAGACACACAGGTAAATACAGGCACTTAATTGTAAAGCAAAGCCTTGCACTGATTTTACCCTTTATGTTGGGTTAGCACAGATTTTACCACACAAGTAAATTAAGAGTGATGATGTAACTGCCACTATTTAAGTGAACTGAGGTCACCTCATACTTCTGGATCAAGATTGTCTTTCCATTTTCACTTTTAAAAGAGATTTAAAGGTTTCGTGGTATTTTAGTATCAAAGTTCAAAGCCTTTTATTCATTTAAGAAATAATGCCTCTTAAAAGAAATCTTAGCCAAGTCAAGTACTCGGTATCAGTGGAATTAGTTTTACTTGTAGTGCTGGTTTTTGAATGGTGCACATTTTGTGCTGTTTGGGTTTTTCCTCCATGTTCCTCTTTTTTTTTTTTGTATTGTATTTCTTTACAATTCTGTGTTGCCTAGATCTGCTGCATGTACTGAAACATTTGAATAAATGCTGTTTGCTGTGTTAACTAATCTGAGCTTTTATAGATATGTGAATCGCATGAACACAGCTTGTCCCCTTTGTTTTTTGTTTTTGTCTGATTTGGTGAATGATGATTTTGGTAGCTCTTAACCTCCCTCCTCCTTTGTCTATCATCTTGATGTGTACAGTATCCACATTGGTATTATGCGATATGTTTTTAGAGCTTTTGGAAATAAAAGCCAGATTTTTCTAACATATCCAAAATCTGTATAGGTTTATACTGTGTTAAAGTTTTATTGCACCATTCCTAAAGGATTCGTTCACCCAAGAAATTAAAATATGCTGAAAATTTAGGAGTCCATACAAGATGTAGATGAGTTTGTTACTTCATCGGAACAGATTTGGATAAATTGAGCATTACATCACTTGCTCACCAATGGATCCTTTGCAGTGAATGGGTGCCATCAGAATGAGAGTCCAAACTGCTGATGAAAACATTACAATAATTTCCGATAATTTCACAGTTCCGATGAAGAAACAAACTCTTCTACATCTTGGATGGCCCTGAGGGTGAGTAAATTTGCAGCAAATTTTCATTTTTGGCTGAACTACTCCTTTAATGGACAGATGCTGTAAATATAGTGCTGTAACACATATCGAAACAACACTGTAGCACTTAATAAAATATCACTTTATTTCTCTTACAGTAACACTCATCAAGGCATATCATTCAATGGCATTATCATACTTTATATGAAAACATGTTAAGCTACCAACACAGATAGCCAGCAGAATTTTACATACGCTCAAAAAAAAAAAAAAGCAACAACAATCGGCTGGTCTACATACACAAAAGCAAGAACCAGTAGAAATCTTGTATCACAGTTTATTTTTAATGTGGTGTGTGTGAACCTAATCACAAAATAAACAACAGACATCTCCATAAAAACTACAAAACAGACAACACACCACAAGTCTTGGCATTTCTGAGGTTTTGTTCACGCCTCAGTCAAAATCAAGTACAAGTACGTTTACATTTACATGCAATAACTGCTGAATCAAACGGAGATAAGAAATACGGTAGTAAATACATTATCAGAGCCCTTAGATAAATCAGATGTGATACAAAAGCACATCTTTAAGTTTTGCATTAGTTGTGCAAACGGTTATGAAAAGTATGTTCGAAATAATCAAATACACTGACTATTAATGGTGAAATATTCTCTGCAGTTGCAGTGTAATAATGTATATGAAGTTAACACAATACATTATATACTTTGCATACTTGATTCGACAGAACCATCAAGAAAACATCAGGACAAAGACGATTTAAAAACTGAAATAATTTGCAGCTTTAAGCGCTGTTCAAAGTGCATATAGAGTAGTTTTGTTTTCCCTGTGCTTGTCAGGTAAAAACTTGAATAAACAGTGTTTTTGTCTGAATATCCAGTGCTAACAATGGCCTAAAATATTTGCTACATCAGTCATTTTGCCTGTGTATGACCTTTGCAAAATTCATGACAGCTGGGATCCAGACTTAAATGTGATGGACAAGCTCCTCACTGACACTTTGTCAAATAAAACAGATTATAGTCACGATGTGCAAATGTATCTGTATGGTAATTAATAAAATGAAGAGATGCTGCTGCATTTCAACAATGCAGGATCAAAAACGGTCAAATTTGAGGAAGTCTAGTGCAAAAGCACTTGGGATTTTCATTGTTCACATTTCAAACGACTACGTACCACCATCACACAGCATGCATAAATACTTCACATTTTCCAGACTAACAAAAACGCCACCTTCTTCAGCACTGTCTACACCACGCAAGCTATATTCAAGGCATTTACCATACAAACTTCTACATTTGTAAAAATGTGGGTCTTGCAGGAACCACGGTAATGTTACCAAATGTTCAGCCACATCTGTGGGCATCTTTAGGCACGTTAAGATAGCCATACAGTTTGCAAGAAGGACGAGAGACTCTGTGGCCCTTCATATATGTACAGTACACAGCATAATCCTGCACTGTGAGCTCTTGTGAAGGATCACAACTCATTAGGTAGAGAGTAGATGGGCAGTGCAAGTCTGTGCAAGAGCAGTGGAGACGTCCTCACTGTTCCACTGACAACAGACATCACTAGCACTAAACTCCTAGAGAAAGAAAGTCAGTTCATTTAGAAGAAGCTATTAAGACATTCAGGGATTCCAATAATATAATGTAATGTAATGTAATTTAATAAGTTATATTAAAAAAAAAAATATATATATATATTAATACTTCTATTCAGCAGGGATGCATAACATTAATTAAAAGTGATGGTAAAGACATTTATAAATGTTTCAAAATATCTCCATTTGATATAAATGTTGATCTTTTGAACATTCTATTCTTAAAAGAATCCAGAAAAAAAAGTATCACAAATTGTTCACAATATTATTGTTTTTTCTGTATTTTTAATCAAATCGATGAAGACTTGGAGCGCATTAGAGGTCAAAACTGACCCCAAACGGTAGTGTTTGTTACATTATTGTAATTTTGAAATACTTCAAAGTTTTACTATCTGAAAATAAGTCATATGCTATAGCACTAAGTACACACAAAAGTAACAAACCTGTTTCATTAACACGCTCCTAAGTTTCCTTCTCAATAGTCAAGGCTGGGTTGCTCGTACCTGGTAGAAAAATACGGACTGAGCACCATGTTGTTTGACCACATTGTAATACACATTCATAACTGCAAATTTCTCTAGTCAAGGCACACAGAACACTCAAATTAGCAGTGTTTCGTATTGATCTCAGATGTGATGCATCACCTCGCTTGTCTCTGTCTTCACTTCCTTCTGACTGTCCGTTATTCAGCAGTCGGCTCTGAGACTCTCTCAGAGGTTTAGGAGGAAACTGATGGGATTCTCCAGCGCTAGAAAAGAATGAAAAAGGCATGAATAGAAGGCTCTGCATATCATCAATACAGTATCCCACAATGCAATGTGCATTTCTACTGTGACATTGGAAGCAGAAGTAATATCTACTACAATTTTTTTTCTTGACTCATTGTTTGATTGCAATGTAAAAATTTTCCTATCTATATATATTTTTTTATATTTTGGTATTTTTTCATATTGTTCTATACACTGTAAAATCTAATGTTAGCCTTAACTAAAGCATGCAAACTGATTGCCTTAAAAAACTAAGTAAAAAAATACATTTTAGTTTCAATAACTAATTCATTTTAAGTTAAATATACTATGTGTGTATTAAAATTTAACTCATTTAAGTTGAGCTAAGTAATGTAACATTCACTGCAAACCTAGAATTTCTGAGTTGTATTCACTTGAATAGCGATCCAATTCACTGTTAAAACCATGCAAACCTTAAAAAGATCAAGTAAGTGTAACGCCAGTAAATTAAGTGCTTCAACTGTCCAGTTAGCAATAACACACATTCTATGAATAAAGCAGTCTATAGTAATCTACTATAGTAGTCTTAATGTTTATAGACCCATCCTCATCCTAACCACAGCCTCTACTCCTTAGCACAATAACCCCCAAAAATACAGACATAACAGAAACCAAACAAAACAGAACATTAAACACTAACAGATCTCCCCCTATATTAATCTTGTGCAAGAACACATAAAATAACAGTTAATTTCAACATTTACTCCTCTGAAGCAAAGCATGCTGGGAACTATAAACTAGCTTGACATAATGGTACAAATAACAATCAATGTATCTTAACTGGGGTTTTCTGAGTAACAAAGACATAGTATGCAAATAGTGCAGATTACTAGATTTTTACAATTAAAATCAACCAATTGTACATTACGTAAAGTCAACTAAAAAGTGTTAGTTAGGACATCCGTTAGGTTTTACAGTGTAATATCTGCAACATCTTTGTGATACAACTCAGTTTCCTAAATGAATAATTCATTCTGAGCCATGAACCTTTTGATTGAAGGGTTGCGTCCAGAGGGTGAGGAGGGTTGTTCGGGGTCTGCGTTCACTAGACATGTGGGGAATGAACAGCCGTCGCCCGGACTGCAGAAACACAATGTGATGCTGAGGGAATGAGATCACAGAACACTCACACCAATGCTTTCAGTGCTACTGAACAATAACTGATACCTTGAAAAAACAGGCAACAGCCAGTATTTCTTTTCATCTCCAAACACCTGGCGAAAGTTCTTGCTTGTTCCTAAACTGAAGCCGTTCTTGTCTGGTCCGTGCTGGAATGCAGGAGCTCTGAAAGCCTCTGACAAGAGACACATT